TAGCAAGAGGCTATCCAATGTGTTGAGACATTGCAGAGACAAAACGTTATTCACTGCCAGTGGAGCTATGAACATTTCCTTACTGTTTGATCAGATGCAAGGAGACAATCCAAAGGAATATCACATGTCTGGAGCAGATTTTGCGGCGATGTTACTGTGTAATCCAAAACAACGTTTCTTTGTTGAGATCTCCATGAGATGGCAGTGGTACCCATACAGCTCAATGCCAGAGTATCCATTCGACGTTCGTCTTGGTGCTTTTCAAGGACATAGCAACCAAGTTGTCGATCCCACTGTGGCACACCACCAACTGACATATGATGAGGCTATGAGTTTGGGCTGGATTTTTCATGTCACTGACTACATGAATTTAGATTCCATTCAACAATCAGGCCTGAAGACCTTTGTGAAAGGAAGTGGAAAAGGCAGAAGGGATGCAGTTCACTTCATGTACCACAATGACAATGGTCAGGGCTACATAAGGATGGCAGAGGGCACGAAGCCTCCAAGAAACTATAGGCGACCAGTGTACCTCGTGTTGGATCCAAGTTTTATTGTGGACAACCAACTCTATCTGACAAAGAATGGTGTCATTTTATTTCATGGTGACATTCCTTTCCAGTACCTCCATGTCAAGGAACAACTCCCTACCATTGCATGTAACGTTGTTCATCAAGGACGTGGTCATTCTCTACCTCCATCAGTTACAGGTGGTTCATGGCACACCAATACAACATGGAACCATGTCATGAAGGAGAAAGGTCCAACATTTATTCCTGGACAAGACATTCCTGAAGAAGTCAGAATCACAGCATGGGAGTTCATGGGTCAACAGGTTCCACAAAACTATGGAAGATTAGTTTTTGGTACACCACTATGCAACGAGAATGACTTTGACCCGATTGTGGAATCAATCTATGGTGCAGCAGCAGAAGGCTCTCGAGAAAGAGAGGTATCTGCAGCAGAAGGCTCTCAAGAAAGAGAGGTATCTGTGCAGGCTGATGAACCCATGGAAAATCCATATGAACAGCCATCAAGAAGAGTACGCTCTCAAGAAGGAGAGGAACCTCAAGATGCATGGGAGCAACAACGCTCCTCATCAGGAAGTCCAGAATCACCACAACATGATGATCCTCAACAAGATGCTCAAGACAATCAACAAGAGGAGCCATCAGTGGACGTCCATGACGACCCAATGGGTGAAGAGGCTGTCAATCTCTGGGAAGCAGAAGATCCACCAGATGATATTGAAGACCCTGTGGTAGAACAGGCTACCAAAAGTTCAATTTCTGCATCGAATCCCTGGGTCCTGTATGAGGCAGGTATTGTCTGTGCAAGAGAAGAGAGCGGTGAACTCATCAAGAACTCCTCAGGAGAAAAAGTGATAGTTCTGCGTGAATGGAACCTACTACTCTCTTCACAAAAGATAGCACTTCGTAGACAATCAATCACTCGCTCAGATTGGGAAAAATTACCATGGACAGGACATCAATGCCTACTCTTCACAAGAGCTTGGGAAATTGGACGCATGTTGGCACACTTCCATAAGGAGCAAAATATTGAAGCCATGGAAGGTTACATGGACTCTTGTCGACAATATTGGACAGACTGGATGCGAGGTCAAGTACTGCCCCAACAGGTTGGGAAGACAGACAGACTGGAGTCATCAACAGAGACGAATGGAGAGAGAGAGTTCTTGCTATACGAAAGAGACTTAGCAATACAGAAGGACATGGAGTATCTCTCAGAAGCAGTCTTTGTCTTTTACACTAAGCATCTTGATCAGTTCATTAGAGAGAACAACAAACTCTGGGGAGATTTCTGCAGGAGAAAGAAGGACCGTGATGGTAACATTTTGGATGCACTGGAGTTGAACACACATGGGTATGACATGACTATTCAAGGAATTACAGTTCCCATGAACAAGAGAACAGTCATCCCAGAACCTGAACGGCATTTCTCGTTTTCCACAAAGATGATGATCATGGCAATCGATCTGTATGAAGATGAAGCACCTGCTAGCTTCAGCCATTTCACAGTTTTTGCTTTGAACAAGCTTCGACAATTCGTGGATAGCAGAAAGGAATTGACAGCTCAATCCTACAGATTCTTTGTTGAACATGCCTACAATCAATTCTTTCAGCATGAAGCATTCCATCAATCTGCAAGAGCAAGGACAAAGGTCAGGGAATGCGGTTCAGGTGACTTCCACACATCTACAAAGCTCGATGGCTACATCTGGGTAGCTGGAAAGGACAAGATCGCTCACATCCCAGGATCAGAGCAACAGAATGTGGACATGGAAGGTCACGATGATGATGATGCTGAAGATGATTTGGAGTTTTTGCCAAGACTACAAGTTTTTGTCAGGAAAGAGGAGGAAAAGGCATCAGGCTCTCAGGAAAGAGAGGAAGAAGGTGTATGCTCTCAAGAAAGAGAGGAAACACAACCACAACAAGAAAGTGAGGTATTACCTGATGCAAATCCTCGAAGAAATATGGAAGATCGACAGGGACTGTTCTTAGTCAGGCAACTCAAACCAGAGCACAGACAGATCCTCCATGATATTACACTCGCAGGCCAATCAGTCCTCACAGGAGATGATCTTGAAGGAGGTCAACCCCTTGAACGTGGTGACATAAGCTTCTTCTCATTATGGTTGATGATGTCAGCATTATCAGATGCTTCCTTTTCAACATTTATGGAGCAGTATGCACCTATGATGGGTTATGAGATCTCTTACGACAAGTACTATGAGTTCAAACTGGATATTGACCAAGTTCTCAAGGACAATGAACACCTTGGCGCAGAAAATTTCTTTGGAGCAGAGGATCCTCATATGGTGGACGATGATCCAGACACTCCACTTCCAGATCTTCAAAGACCAGGCGCAGGTGATCCTGAGTACAAGCATACCATTGAAAGTTTGAACATTGAGGACAAACATATCATTTTGGAAACTGATGATGACAAATTGGTTGAGTGTACATTGAAATGGATCAGTATGTGCAATCAGAATGTTCAACGAAAGATCAAGGAAAGTTTTGTCAAACCAGAAGAAGGACAAGAGAAAGAAAAGGATGAAGAAGAGAAGATTGCTGACGAAGAAAAAGAAGAAGAAAAAGACACACAGGAGCCACATGTCCCAGCTGAAGGCTCTTCAGAGAAAGAGGAATCAGCTCCACCTGAACGCTCCTCAGAAAAGGAGGAATCAGGGGAGAAGAAGACAGACATTCAAGATGATGAGACAGCTCCTGAAGTGAAACCTGCAGTTCGACTTTACTATGGTCAAGATATCACTGGAAACGAAGATGATTCAGTTTTTCGAAGATTGAAGGATTGTTTTTCAGATGGTTACCATGGTGAATGGGCAGGATTTTACAACAAAGGTTATCCAGCGTCTTCGAAGCATCGACATATGTTTTGGCATGTTAAGTACAGGAAGACCATGTCTCCACATCATGATTTTTGGTACCATCTTACAGATGACCAGTTGATGGTTGAGTACATTGCCAGACACAAGAATCAGGATCCACAACTAGAATTACAAGAACTTAATCAGCGCATTGAATATGGTTGTAGTGATCCAAGGATGCATCCTCTTCATCAAGACAAGGCAGAAAGATCCTCAAAAGAAGCAGAACAGAGGATTGATGACGATTTTGGAAATCTCACAAAGGTACTCCAAGATTACGTTGAGGAACACAAGGTCTTGCCTTACTGTATGATCTTGCATAGCTTGGCTTACAGGTACTTAGGTGGAGGCCTATCAGACCCAACGTACAAGGATGCTGAATTTCCATACAGATCCTCTCCACAGATAACAGCAATGTTTTGGAATTTGGGAAACTGGTGCAGAAACAGATTTGAAAAATGCCCGGTTCCAGAAAGATTTCAACAATTCATTCCACACATTGACTACACTATCGATGAGGATCATGAAAAATTTGATGAAACCAAATCACAGTTCAACAATTACTTCATCAATGTCATCAAGAACTTTGGAGGACATCTTTTCATGAATTGCGAGGCTGGTTCGTTGTATCCTCACAGAGAAAGACTCAACGAGGTTGACTTCAAAACTTGCTTCAATGACTATCATGACTTGATGGTGGCAGCTCGCCTTGGAAAGGATGGCTATATCAAGCAAATTGCTGGATATCACACAGATGACAACGACACACGAGTTCGACAAGTCTCATGGGCAATCTTTGAAGTATCTTGGGGAAAGACAAAGGATCGAGATGTGCTGTTTTCATGTGGGCTTGCACACATGAACACCACTCTCTCTAACTTCACCTTGCATACCTTGTTGGTTTGTCGGGATTTACCCTGTTGTTGCTTCATGAGTTGGCTGAACATGCTTTGCAGCTAGTGGCAAGCCTGGTTGGGCTAGTAGTTGTTCATCTCTCCTTTCCCTGAGAGGTAGTGCTTTCCAACCCGCTTGCCTGTTTGTTGTTTTCTCTTTTATGTTTGCTGCTTGCGCCCTAGATCGCGCAAAAAAGCGTGCGGGCCTTGGCCCATATTATGCCAAGCCCGGCACCGCTTCACCGTATTATTGGGGGTCAGCCGTGTTGTTGGAACCGCCGCCTGTTGGTTGGCCATTGCCGGCATTTAGCAGCAAGCCAGATTCCTGGGCCTTTTGGCCTAAGCTGGCTCCTCTGCAGCAGTCTCTTGGCAGTGCATCTGCGCCTGCTGGGTTTAAGGCGAAGGTTCATCCAGTACCTGCATGTTCAATTTTGTCTGGCACAGGCTCAGGGCAACATGCTGACGAAGTTGAACTGTCAAGTTGGACAAGCTTGTGGGCAACATTGCTGAACCCTTTGCTTCCACTAGCTCCAGCCTTTACGAATCTGGGTGAATTCGCGGCTAGTACTTTGGAGCGGTTGTTGCGGACAAAAGCACACGCTACACTACGCCGTCACTTGCCAAACTGGCGTCTTTGGGTTGATTTTGCGCAACTTCATGAATGGCCTGTGTTTGAGCCTCCAGAAGGTGACATGGTGGCCTTTTTGCAGGGACTCGTGACCAACGGCAAATCTAAAGGTGGGGCCAAGAACACCTTGTGCGCCTTGAAGTTTGTTGCTACATTGATGGGTTGGCAAAACTGGGTTGACATGCTTTCCAAACCTGTTGTGACGGTTTGGTGTGATTCATCAATGTCCCGTCAAGCACGGAAAGAAGCTTTGCCTTTGCCTTTATCGGTAATTGCAGCCTTTGAAGCGCGCATTCACGAAGACCTGGCCGTTGGTGCAACTCAGGAAACTATGGCCCTAGTAGCCTTTTTAGTGATGTTTTGGGGGGCGCTTCGTTTTTCTGATCTTCAGCAAGTTGAACGTGATTCTTTGCAAATAGAAAATAGCATTGCTCGTGGCCGCTGTTATCGCTGCAAATCGGCAAAGGATGGCATGCCGTTTGGCTTGCTGTGTTTTGGAATTTTCTCTACTTGGGATGCCGGGCTCCGGCGTTTGTGCGAAGCTATGAAGGAATGCGATTTTCTTTTGGCAGGTCCACGAGGAGCTCGCGCAAATTTCGCTTATGCACTTGGTATGTTTCGGCGTCTTCTAGTATCAGTGTCACTGCTCAAGCCAGCAGCTACACGCTGCACAGCTTGAAAACAACAGGTCTATCTTGGGGGTTGCAATTAGATGTAGATGTGCACCAGCGGCTATTGTGGGGCCACCATCGCTCGGTTGATTCTGGCAGCAAGATGGTAACCAAATATTCGCGTGATGATGTTCTTCCCGCTCTTCGTGCGCAGTTGCGTGTGTTGCAAGCTATTCGTGGTGGTTGGGTTCCTCTGGCGCCACAGAGCCGCGGTGCGCAGCATCCTGTGGCAGAAACAGCTTTAACCGCACCTCTAGTGCCATTGGAAGGCAGATTCTGGTCAGGTTTGATACCTGCCAGGTCAAGCGACTGGGACCCTGCATCGGATGCAGAAACTGAGGTGTCTGATGATGAGGACTCGTCATCTTCATCCTCTTCAGAATCTGAAGCACATGTAGATTCAGACCTAGAAAAAGACAAGGAAGTTGAGCACGACCTTAGGAACTCTACAGTAGTGCCAGGTGTGTTTATCGTGAACACGTCCAGCGCTTTCTATCATGCAGCAGTGGAGCTTGGATCAAAGCAGTTTGGGAGAGCTTGCGCGCCATGCCGTGCAATTAAGCAACCTCAATGGGAAGTTTGGCATTCAGACCCATCGGCCAGTGGAGAAGTATTTTTTCCATGCGCGCATGGTGCTTGCTCTTCTTGCTTGTGAAAGAGTGTGGGTCACGTGGCCAAGCCCGCGATGGTGTTTTCACTATGGTTGCTTTTGTTCATGATGGATAGTGAGCTGCTGTTTGTTAGTCCAGTTAAAGGGTTGGAGTTGCATGTATTCCTTGTCCCTAATTGTTGGTAGGTCAGGTAGAGCGGAATGTGTCCCTGCTTGGCTGGTGCCGTTCTGGCTGTGTTGTTGGGGTCAGGTGTGTTCCTGTTGTGGGTTGCCCCTTGGTTCTTTGTTGGTGGAGCTTCAAGTGCTCCTTGGGACTGTGTGTCCTTGTTTTGTTGGTGGGGCCGTGTATGTCCCTGTTGGTGGAGCTTCAGGTGCTCCTTGGGACGGTGTGTCCCTGTTTTGTTGGTGGGGCCGAGAGTGTCCCTGTTGGTGGAGCCTCAGGTGCTCCTTGGGACTATGTGTCCCTGTTTTGTTGCTGGGGCCGAAAGTGTCCCTGTTGGTGGAGCCTCAGGTGCTCCTTGGGACTGTGTGTCCCTGTTTTGTCGGTGGGGCCGAGAGTGTCCCTGTTGGTGGAGCCTCAGGTGCTCCTTGGGATTGTGTGTCCCTGTTTTGTTGGTGGGGCCGTGTGTGCCCCTGTTGGTGGAGCCGCAGGTGCTCCTTGGGACCGTGGTCCCTGTTTTTTGTTGGTGGAGCTTCAAGTGCTCCTTGGGACTGTGTGTCCCTTGTTTTGTTGTGTATTGATAAAATTACAAGTATTTGTTGGAGACCGTGTGTCCCTTTGTGTTGTTGGTAGGGGGTCGAGGGTATCCCTGTTGTTGGAATTATGGTGCATGAAGTGGTTCGGTGTGGTTGCAATTTTTTCCAAACCTGAACTTTTCCGCATTTCATTCTGGTGTTGGGGTTGGACGGTCAGCAAACGCCTGAGCTGGAGAAACATTTGCTTTGTCGCCAGTTCGATCTATCATTTGTTGCAGATTGCTTTCATTTTCTCTGTGCTGCAATGGATTCGGCTGCTTCATTTGCAGCTTTATGCGCCAAAGTCAAGCTAGCAGAGAAAGTCTGTGCTGCGTTGGAGCCTTTGGGTTTCAAGAGCCCTGCTGAGTTCTATTGGGCACTCAAAGATGGGGCGGATGATACCATTGAAGCAATTCTCGATGCCGCTGGAATTGATCTTTCATCGGCCCCCTCGAAACTTCAGTGTGTAGAAGCTGGACGATTGCGTCGTCTGTTGTCAGAATGCAAGCTTATGTGCGAAGCCCCGCAGCCTGGCCCACCAACGCCAGCTGAAAAGATGGCCCCTTCACTTCTTGGCATGGATGTAGGGCCTCGGTTGTCCGGTGATGTGTTACAACAGCTTTGGTCTGAATTTGCAAAGAAATACCCGGCAGAGGTAGTAGAGGGCGATGCTCGCCCCGGGAAAGCATTGGTGCAAATGGTTTATGCGCAAAAATGTCAACAAGAGTTGAAATACATTCCTTGGAAAAGGATCTTGAGTGAAGCCCAAGCAGACCGAGTCAAGCAAGGTTCTACCAAGCGAGATCGTTCCTTTTTAGACCTGCTGGCGGATGCGGCAGGGCACGCTGACCCACCCGAGCAAGAGCCATCTCCTTCGCCGTTTGGGGTTCAACGCCTGTTGATGTTGCGTGCGGTGGCATGGGCCTTGATAGGATGGTGTCATTTAGGAGGAGCTCGTCGCCTAGTTCACGCTTTCATGGAACTGTATGGTGCTCATGGCTTGCATGCAGTGGGCCTGCGGGGTCCCTCCTTGGTTGAAGCTGAAGCGGCAGATGGGGAGATCTGTCGCCAATTGAATGCGCTGCTGGGCGCTGGCTTCAGCTTAGATCAAGCCCTACATGAACTAGTTGCCGTGCGAAATTGTCTTCACATTTGGTTGCAGCCGAAGCCAAAACTGCTGCCGCAATCCGATTTGTACAATAAGAAAGGGAAGCGGCCGTTGCCACAACCTGCTGGGAAATCTGCGAAGATCAAAAACGCGCATACTCCAGGGCTGGAGGCGCCCCGTGCAAAAAAGGTATGCTTTGCATTCAAGAAGTCTGGCAAATGCAGCTTTGGTGAAAATTGCCGATTTGAGCACGCTGAATGACTATCAAAGGAGCCCCAAGTGGCAGAGTTTGATGCTTCCGCAGCCATTTGGTCGTCAGGTGACAATCCATCTGTGTGTCATCGGCAGCCGCCTGCAGAAGCAGAGGTGATGACAAGGTCGGAGTTAGATTACTGTGGGGTGCCCGTCCCAGACGGAGGGGGAATCTGCTCTACGGCTGATTGGTTCCAGCCGCGGGTCAAGGACGATTTATTTCGTGATCTTCGCCGCAGGTTTGAATCTTTGGCTATGGAATGGCGTCTAGTTCCCTGCCTGATGGCGCACGTCTCTAACCCCACGGATGCTGAGCTGCTTTCTGCTGAAGAAGTGTTACACTTGCGTGAAGAGATTGTTGGTTTTTTGCGTAACCATGGTTTTTCTTGCAACGGTGATGTCGAACCCAATCAGCCTTTTCTGCTTTCCGTTTGGCAAGCTTTGGCCAAGATGACTGTTGATGTTGATCCACATCTTCCCAACATTCTTTCAGAAGGGGTTCCTACAGGCATCGAATCCCCGATTTCACCTTCTGGTGTCTGGGATGCAGTAGATTTTGATGGAATGGCACCTGAGCCTGAGCTGGTTCCTTGTGATCTTTTGGTTCACCTTGAGCCTTGGCGCTCGGCAGCTGAAGATTTACCCCTGGCAAAACAGTTGCTTCAAAAGGATATTGACGCTGGTTGTCTCATGCATTTACGTGGAGGTGAAGCGGAAGCGAAGGAACGCTGGGGGGACAAGATTGCTGCAGGTAAATTGGGCTTGGTGAAAATCCCGGGCAAGAAACCACGGTTGATTGGCGATGCCACGGTTTCTGGTGCAAATTCGCGCTGCGTGATTCTGGAAAAGATTCGCTTGTCCACTTTGAGCTGCGTGCAAAGAGTTGCTAGCGCAACGCCGCTTGACAAACTTTTTTCTGCCTTTTCCTTTGATATTCGTGGAGCCCACAAGCTAATTCGTGTACGACCTGCAGAACAAGGGTATAGCACTTTTGTTTTAGATGGAGAATGGTATACCTACCGAACCTGTTTTTTTGGCTGCCGCTGGGCGGCTTACTGGTTCTCGCGTGCTTCTTCATTTCTTGTGCGACTCTTGCATCGCTGGGTTTGGATACCACACGCATTGTGGGTATATGTTGATGATGGCCTCCTCTTGCTTCCCGCTGATGTGGCGCCGCTGGTTGCAACTACTTCATTGATGTTCTTGCTGTCGATCGGTATGCCGATCAGTTGGGAAAAATTGCAACTGGGCAGTGCTATTTCCTGGATTGGGTGGGATTTCCATTTTTCCAATGCTACAGTTTGTTTGCCTAACGCGAAGAAGCAGAAGTTGCAGCAGTTGCTTTCTTGTCTCCTGGTAGAGAACCGGCGGGTTGAACGTAAGCTGGTGGAGCAAGCTATCGGCCTTTTGCTCTGGTATTGCGGGGGTGCTTCATGGCTGAAGCCGTGGCTGCAATGCTTATATAACTTATTGTTCAAACCCTTGTGTGTATTTCGTGCCTTGTTGCCCGCGCAATTTGAATGCATGCGTGGCTCACTGGACCCCAATCTACGTTTGAAGCATAGCTTTTCGCAGTGGGACTTACAGCAGGGTTGGAAGTTACATTCAGTAAGTAACTGTGCTGTGCGTGCGCTGAGCGATGTCCCGCTTCAGACTCCGCGTTTGAAACGTGGTGCAATTGATTGCGTTTTCTATGACTATAGCAGTGCCAAGGTGCGAACCAACAAGATCTCGATCGATGCGGCCACTTTGTTTTTCAATGCTGTTTCCGTGCAAAACCGCTTCCCCTGCGTTGCACTCAGGTGGAACATGGCTTCGGCGCTGCTGATGCATTTGCTGATTCTTCATCTTGCGGTGTAGGAGGATGGTGGTGCCCCTCTCACGTGGCTCCATCCCCACAAACTGTTTTGTGGTTTAGTATTCAGTTTCGCGCCAAAGATCTTCCAGCATGGTTACAGTCCGAAAATTTGCAGTCATTCATTGCATCTTTTGAAGCTTTGGCACAGCTGCTGCTTTTGCTGGGGCGACTTCGGCATTTCACACATCCAGGAAATGCGACAGTGGTTTTGCAACAACTGTGTGACAATAATGGCGTGGTGGCATTGACTCGCAAACAGTTGACCATGAAGGCACCCATGTGCTATGTGCTGCAAGCGATTGGGTTTTATTGCTGTCAGCATGGTGTATCTTTGTCATCGCAGCATGGTGCGGGTGTTCGCAATGAGTGGGCTGATGCCCTGAGTCGTGGCTGCTATGAAAATTTCAACGCAGCTAATAGAATGGAGTTTGATGTGTGTTCCATTCTTGAAAAGCCTTGGAATGGCGCCGGGCACACTGCGTGTGGGAAGTTGTGAGACTTTAGTGCCCTGCTTGATCAACACCGTTTTTGGGGCTGGTGTGGTGGAGCTGCTGCTGCCCAGCAGCTGCTCCACCTGTGTGTGATCAAGCCAATCCATGAAAAAGGATTAGTGCTCTGGTGGTTGGGCAGGAGTCAGGTTTATTCACCTATTAGTATGTTCCTGGTTTGTGATGCATGCTAGTGAAGTTTGTAGAGGTGCTGTTTTCATGTGGGCTTGCACACATGAACACCACTCTCTCTAACTTCACCTTGCATACCTTGTTGGTTTGTCGGGATTTACCCTGTTGTTGCTTCATGAGTTGGCTGAACATGCTTTGCAGCTAGTGGCAAGCCTGGTTGGGCTAGTAGTTGTTCATCTCTCCTTTCCCTGAGAGGTAGTGCTTTCCAACCCGCTTGCCTGTTTGTTGTTTTCTCTTTTCCACCCCACCCCTCCCTGCATTGGTTCACGGGTTGTTACCCTCCACATTGCCACCTGTTTGGGGCAAGTTTGGATTAGGCCCCCTGGCCTTGATTTTGTGACAGGCAATTTTTTGTCAGGTGTTTATGAAGTTGCTTGCTGATGGTGCAAGCTGTAACATGGGCACTGAAAGATTTTTTGCCTATGTTTGGGATTGAGCCCAAGTGCTCATGGCCCTGCGGGGCTGGTGTGGTGGAGCTGCTGCTGCCCAGCAGCTGCTCCACCTGTGTGTGATCAAGCCAATCCATGAAAAAGGATTAGTGCTCTGGTGGTTGGGCAGGAGTCAGGTTTATTCACCTATTAGTATGTTCCTGGTTTGTGATGCATGCTAGTGAAGTTTGTAGAGACAGATGAGATTGTTGACTTGACAAGAGCTAGGATGAGAATGACACGTGTGTGCGTTTATCACGTCGGACAGAAGTATGCATCAGACTCTGCTGGGATTGTTGGTGAGTGCTTAGCTGTTATGGCTTTTGAGTGTGCCAGATATCAAGTTGACTTCATCGCAGGTGATGGAAACAAGGCATGCTATTACAGCACACCAAAATCTCCAGGTGTCCCTACATATCAACACAGCCTTATCCAATTCTGGATTAACAGAATGGTAGGTGTTGCAACACAAGCCATGCGCAAGAATTTTGATCCAACTTGCCCTCCAATCAGGGTCAAGCATTTCATTTCTTGCAGTTATCGTGACTTGGATTTTCTTGCAACGCACTTGGATGGCATTACAACAGCAACATACACCGACGAGATCATGAAGAAGACAACTGGTAAAGGTGATTGTTGTATGTTAACAGTTGTTGAGTGGGGTCATTCACGTTTGATGTGTGAGGAACACCCAGAAGACTTTGAGGATGAAGATCACATGAACTATGTGGGTGAATTTTACTTCAAGGTAAATGAAACTTGCTTACATGGTGATCACAACATCTTCATGGTTGCTCCAAATGATCGCGATGCTCATAATCCAATTCTTATCCATCTTGATCCTTCTGATATGTCATGGAATGAACGACATCATTACAAACAGGCCTACAAGAAGAAGCAGTATGCTGATTCAAGAAAGGAAAGACAGAAGGAGAAAAAGAGAAAGGCATATGAAGATCAAGCATCGACGTATCAGGGCAACACAGAGTGGGGTGGATCCTCATCTTCAGCGTCCAGACCATGGAGATCAAGTGAGTGGCGATGAGTGAGTGTACACTTCTTTAATTGAAGATAACACAGCATGAGAAGCCGTGTACAGTTTTTCTGTGCGTTCAACTTATTTCACACAGATGGCATATACTCTTTTAGATAGAGATAATGCCACAAGTGTCTGAACTTCAATTTAATGTATAATAGAGACTCCTGTAAATAGAGATACTATATACATTTATCTCCATGAATCATCCGGCGAGCAGACCACTCCGAATGGAGCGAACTACAAAAATTTACCAACTTCGATTTCAGTCCATTGTTTGCTTGAATGAGCAACTTTGGAGATCCGCTATTTCCGTTTATTTCGTGATTTGGTCAATTGTTTTCGTATGACCTGAATTTCTGCATCTTGCGAACCCGAACTTTTCAATTCGAACTTTCACCGGTAGAGCGAGGCATTTTGCCTGTGGAGAGACCGTGCGCGAAGCACCATTGGTCACTACTGGAAAAATTAGCGAATCCGCTGTTCTTTTTCGACATGTCCTTAGGACATTCGCTGCTTTCACGTGTTTTTCAATTCGAAGCCACTGCGTAACTCCGGTTTCTTTTGCTATTTGCCATTGTGTAGAGAAGTCAGGAAGATACTCTTAATACCAATTGGGTACGGCAAGGCGTAGTGCTCTACTCATTGCTTTTGAATTTGTGCCTGTGTTTTTGTTTCGACCTAATACCTACATAGGTACATGCATGAGTATTGAGCACATTTATATGCGCCCTTCAAGGCTCAAGAGGTATATAGAGTAACCCTGTAGACAAGCACTGACCGGCAACAGGCTGAGAGTAAAAGAGTGCTGTCATTGGGGAAGATGCCTTAGCTGATCTTGAAGTAGACGCTAGGGCCCCTCTTCACCCCCTCCCCCCCCCACCACCACCACCACCATCACCACCACCATCATCATCATCATCATCATCGTCATCATCATCGTCATCGTCCTCGCCATCGTCCTCGTCCTCGTCATCGTCATCATCATCATCATCACCATCACCACCATCATCATCGTCATCATCATCGTCATCATCATCATCATCATCATCGTCATCGTCCTCGCCATCGTCCTCGTCATCGTCATCATCATCATCGTCCTCGTCCTCGTCCTTGTCCTCGTCATCGTCCTCGTCATCGTCATCGTCATCGTCATCATCATCATCATCATCATCACCATCATCGTTAATCAATTACATTTTATCATTATTGGCAATTATTGGCATTATCACGAAAGCTAGCGTCAACTCGCTAGAGTCTTCTTGCTTTAGCAAGTATTCCGGGGCTCCCCAAGGACATCACGTGCTTTTTCACGCGAAAGGGCCCCCCCCTGCCCCCTCCCCCATATATATCATTGTTATATATCATATATCATATATCATTGTTGCATCCTCGTTGGGACGAAAAATGCCGCGACACGATGATGACAGTCCCTCCGCAACTCACCTCTTCCCTTCCTTCTTTCTCCTACCCCGCTAGCTTTCGTCATCCACCCCCGGCCTCAAGTTTTTTGTATGTTTACCAGAGGGTATTGTTTATTGGCAATTTCAGGGGTATCCCCATTTTCAGAGCCACATTTCATGACAATTTTCTGAAAAGAGTTTGGAGCAACATCATTTCATTATCTCCAGTGTCTCGGAAAGCCTATGTCCAGGCTGTCAAACGAATTTCTTCCATCAGAAATCCAGAGCTATATATATATATATATGTATGCTATAAAAAAAATGTATGTATGTATGTATATATATATATACACACATCTCTCTATATCTATATATTCTATATGATTCTATAGTGATTTGGTCCCCGCAAAGCCTTTATTATTCTTGTTGTTTTTGTAAATTTGAGCCACTATATATTATCAATACAGTGATTACATATGATGATATCATGTTTAATAAGAATATGGATATCATCCACAAATATCGTCTCGGCAATTTTAATCATAAACAAATTTTCCACAGTAGGGCCCCACCACTTGTGTTTTATGGTTAGCTTCACCCGATGTTCTCGACAGACATATATTATATATCTACCATACACCATAGTTATATCTATTTATGTGCACCAACTTTGCTATCGAAACTGGGGGCCCCACCTTCAAAGTGTTTCTAAGTCCCCCATTTTTCTATGGGGGCTTTCCATGGGGAAATCCCCAAGTCACAGGGGTTTCAATACTGAGTCATAGTCATCCATGATTCATACAATGTGAGGCCCCCGGCCACGATATCTAAGTTGGTGTTCACATAACTCCAATGTCACTATGGTTTATGGTACTTAAACTATAGTTACTGGGGCTTAATTGTTAACCAACGTTCACATCACGTCAACGGGGGGCCTCGCATTCATTGTAGTCCCCCCTATGACGGCCATGGTGGGCCTGCGCTTCGCGAGGCACACCAAGAGCTTCGGATGCATTCCCGCCTGGCTCAGTTTGAGATGAATCAGCTGCAGGAAATGCAAGAGGCCCAGGGGACCCAGGGGACCCAGAGGACCCAGGGGACCCAGGCCCAGAGAGCTGGTAGTTAGTGGATAGAGAATCGTACTCTGAATGGAGAACACATAAATCTGTTGGTTTTTTTCTACCATTCATTGTCTACTGGTTGGTGGTTTCAAACATGACTTTTATTTTCCATTTCATAAATGGGATGTCATCCGTCCCATTGACTTTCATATTTTTCAGAGGGGTAGGTCAATCACCAACCAGTCTATAATATGATATCTGAAAATCCCAAGAGGATTTGGTGTTGAAATGGGGGATGATGGGAATGTGATGGATATACAACCAATTTCTGGGGTTAACCGAACCGTATGGAACATGGCCCGTGAAAGCAGATGATATACCTATTAGAAGCCGTAGAGAAGTTGTGTTTGTTGCATTTTGTTGCTGGTTTATAAACCTATAATGTTGGTAAAACAATGATGAACCATTCCCAATTTCACCATAAATAGGTGGTATGTTTACCATTCCCAGTCATGGGTGGTAAAAATGACATTGTTTTATCCACATTGGACCCCCATAAAGCCTAGATATATGAGTTACCCTCTGGTAAACTAACATAGCTATGGAAGACCACCATTTTTAATGGGTAAATCCACTATTTCAATGGCCATTTTCCAGTTCGCTTTTTGTATGTTTACCAGGCCGGGTTTCGAAACAAAGCAGTGATGGATTTCCCCAGAAACATGGATTGGTAATCCACTGGAATTTCAACAAATATTGCGGGGATGGTTGCGAAATCCGCAGTAAACCAGTTGGTAGGAAACTATGAAGGTAACTACAATGTGAGGCCCCCAGTTATAAGTTGGTTTAGATTCGCCCCAGTAACTATAGCGTACCATAAACCATCCC